CCTTGAGATATAGCTGGAAAAACAGCCACAGACCTACTAAGGAGACCTTTATTCACTTTGTTATTCCGCCCGCAGATTTAATGCTTTTGCATTTTATTTTCAGAACTTTTCTATATTCCTACGGTGGCTCTCCAAAGCTAAACAAAAAAAGTTGTGGTGAAAATAGGAGGAGGGAGGAGTATTAGGTATGTTTGCTGCCTTATTTATTAAAAAAATAAAGGCAGGATAAAAAGATCTATAAAATAAAATAAAATAAAAATAAAATAGGTCCTCCATGAATTGAGGTAGATATAGCTGTCTTCCAATCCACACATGGCTTTTAATCTAGAATGGATAAAAAGCTAACAATTGTTTGATGAGGTAGCAACAAGAGAGCATTTCCTCACACCCTCTCGTCCTATTTTCTCGTATCTTCATAACACGCAGCCCGCCAGGTTTGTATGGGAAGGTTTATAGCATATATCAACTATTATTGCTTTCACTTGTCTCAGATACGAGTTTCTCCACACATTGTCCTAAGTCTTAATGTGGTTTACTTAGATATCATTTAGTATGTTATGTGAACCTATCCTCTGTTATGGTTTAACTTACGGTATTGTGTAAATCGAGCCAACTGTAGCTTATTCAAATCACAATTAAGGAAATAGTGGTATATCATGAAGTGCAAACCAAGTCAACAAGTATGATACTGTAACTCAGTTCTGGAAACAGAGTGAAAATATGTTGGTGAAATAGTATCTTTCCATTGCTTTTTCAGATATTTTAACTTTCCAGCAGCTCTTGAAAAAGGGAGAAGAAGAGAACCCACTCCTTTCCTCAGGTACCAAACACACAATTTTACAATATAAGAGCATTTTTTAAGGCAGCAAAGTAAGTCTATTTCATCTTCCTCATTGTACAGGTTGTAATTTTTACAGAGATTTATACAGTATAACAGCAGATTATGGAACTGATCTGTGTGTGCCTGCCCTAAAGTTCTCACTTAGATGAGCCCAGTTCAACTTTGGCTAGTTGAGGCTTCCACATAATGTTTGTTCACAACATAGCGAAGATATAGAGGAAGTTCCCAGGCACTTCCATGCCACATGCAGCATCCCCACGTGCTAACAGTAAGGACAGCACCAATCAGTTTTGGCATATTTTGAATTTTACGCCCCTAGAGCAGCCAAATCCTTTAAGCATGCTCATGTTATTTCTTGCAAGCCAGGATTTCTAATTTAGAGACTACCTTCCAAGCCAAAATACCTTTGCCTACATCCCACCAATTTGTGTGAAAATAAATGCAATGCTTAGTGAATGGTTCAATACTGATTAAGGAAGTACATTGGTTGTTTAACATATTTATGAATAAATATGTAAGGAATGCCTGAGTTGATGTTGGAGGTATGTTAGCTGGGGACCTGAACATACATGCACTTTTCTAGGCAAATGATGCTGTGCTGATGGCTGAGATCATCAATGATTTGCAGCAAATGTTAGGCTATATGATCCAGTGAGGGGTATGGATCATAAATTAATCTATCAAAGACCAAGGTAATTGAGTTTGACTTGGAAATGAATGACTCCAATAAATGGTTAAAAACTAGAGCATGTAGATAAATTGTTTACCTTGGCAGAACATTTACTAAAGATGGGAAAGTGGGGAAATTTTTAAGATGTGCAAATGTTGGGAGAAGGGTAAACTTGTGAGAGGAATGAATCTTTGTTAAAAAGAGGAGAAAATGTATACATGAGCATGCTTCTGCCTACTTTGTTACTTGAAAGTGAGAGATACACCTGGGAAAACAAAGGTAAGTTGAATGAAGTGGGAATAGGGTCTTAACTATGCAGGATAAAACAAGAAAAGCGAGGGTCAAGAATGAATGGGTGATGAATGAATATGAATTGAAAACAAGAGTAAGTGACCAGTATGAAAGAAGCATGTTACAATGTTATCGGAAAGTAAAAGACTGTAAATGGGAATTTAAAGTACCCCATTACTCATAAAAATGTCATATTAATTGTAATTTACCTACACCCACTTTGGTTCTCTCCACTGAAACTTTCTTAGGAATAACTTAAATTGCACTGATTAAATGGCAACATTTCAAACAAGTATCATTTTTAGTATTTTATTTATTGAATACTTTATATTGAAGCATTTAGATACATTTCCATAGCTTGTCAGTTAATTTTTTTTTGGAAAAATATTAGATATTTTAAGCTCTACAATTTAAACATCATGATTAGTCACACAAAGAATATATATCTACATATAAATGCTGGGGCAACAAGCCATCTCTGAGTCTCATTTCACCTGAAATTCCCAATGAAAGGAAAAGGTGGAAGGGCCATAGGGAAGCAAGGCTGAGTGAACTGTGCTCTATTATTGATACAGTTCCATGAGTATCAGAACTCCCAGGGAATCAAAGCCTAAATGATATCGAAGATGCATAATCAGGTTGCTTCTGACAGCATGGTGATTATTTATTTATTAAATTATGCCAGCCATCTCCCCCAGTGGGTGACTCTGGTAGGCTCATCCCCTTGCATATAGGCACACAATGACATGGACTCTTGGAACATGATGCCAAAGCAACCTTTGTGATCTGCCTTGATCCACTTTAGAAATGTCCTTGATGAGGCCATTTATTTACTTTCAATATCTGCAATGATGCAGCAAAGATAGCAGATGTCCTCAATGAAGTCTCCTTGGCATGAACGTTGCAACCTGCTGGCCATAATACAGACAAGTATGCCATGCGTGCTTTCTTGTTCTGAGTCAGCGCTAAACATTGGCATGCAAGTTCCTTGCGCTGTGGGCTGGTAGACCTTCCATATCCATGAAAACAATGACTGGATGAAAATCACATAGGCGGGAGGAATGACAGCCAGTGGAAACCAACAGCTGAGTGGAAGGTAGGGATTCCAATGAGTATCACACTAATCCTATTCCTTTTAGAAATTAATCACAAATGTAGTTTCTGACCTTTGACAGAGGAAAAGCTCACTCCTCCAAACACACACAGCTGCAAAGTTCCTCTTACCAAATTTACTGCCGCTAATACTTAATCTTCTGAAAATTTATTATAGCACTCAAATCTCATCAACATACAAAAGCTATTAGGCACAGTCCAGAGTGCACTTAGTATTCCACCAAAATAAAATAAAAGCCACATACTTAATTATGCAGTTCCTAGCATCCCACCGAAAATTAGATTAAAAAATCCATAAGGTTTAATAACAATCTTTTCAACCCTGGTATTTTCCAACTGCATTGGACTATTAACTGCTGTTATCCCTATTGGCCTTGCTGGTTGGGCACAAGGAGAACTATAGTTTTAGCATTTCCAGAGGCAACAGGTTGGAACAGATAAATTACAAAATGCTATAAATAGTGGAAGTGATAAGTCTGGCTGCTCCTTTACAGTATGCAGGAAGGTAACCTGTTGTGGTCTCCACTCTCATAAACCCCAGCCAGTATGGCCAATGATCAGGAATGAGAACAGCTGTATATCAATTAAATATACATGAAGTTGCCTAAAGTAAAAACTCAGAAGAAATAAAGAACAATCACATAAGATAAAGGAGATTCATTTTACTAGCCTCTAATGAAGGCCAGTGACTATTAATGATGCCCCATTATGGATAGCACATGGTATGTACCTGAACAACTGCCTCTTTTGTAGAAAATGAAGGTCAAATTGGTCAAAGCTACTTCTGGTTAACTGATTTAGCATTCAGAGTTTTCTACCTCAAGGCGAACTTCTGCAGGAATTTCTTTCAAATACACAACACTTATATGCCCCCTCATCCAATTTACAGGAATACACTTAAGTTAGTTTTCCACAGATGCTCCTGCTATATTAACTCCCATGTTAGTTATTGCCAGGAGTATCAAATGTAGGCTTAAGAGACAATGAGATGCAGTTCTGTGAACATGTATGAGATGCCTATGTATCAGTGAACTGAACACACTTTCTTAGAGAAAGACACACTTCATAAATGCCTATGGAGTTCTACTATATACATTGTGTGTGTTGAAAGACACAACAGTTTTGTATTTGCAAGGGGTTGTCTTCAGCACTGAATTTTTGGAGATGCTTGTACTAGATGAACATTCCACAGTATAGATGAAGTTCTTACATAGGACAAATCTCGAATTCCCAAAGAGGTTGACGTTCTAATTTGTTTTCAATGAAAGTGTTTAATATGTATTGTGTCTAAAACCAAACAGATATTTTCCAGTTCTTTGTCTTAATTCCTACTTTTACTACATTAAAGATTCCTATAAATTGTAATTATTAATTGATCAAATCTAATGTCATTTAACAAAAATGTTTTTCTGTTTGCTAAGAAAGTATCCGTAATGCATAGTAAAGGGGCTTGCTTTGTGTTAGTTAAAACAGCAACTTCATAACAAGCATAGCCAACATAAACTTGCTGTTAATCCCAGTATAATTAACTGGGCAGCTTTTAGAATTTCAAAATATTCTTACCAAGAAAGTGAATATCCTTTTGCATGCACTCACCTATGAACATAGCACATTACTATTTTGTTTTCTTAAAATTTCCTACTGTTAAAGCCAAAAAAGCCCTATCACAAATCATTAGGAAGAAGGATTTAAACTGCTCATTTCAACATCCCTGATGGAATGCATTAATTGAGAATTTACTACTAATAGTTTCAGTATTCATATTCAATTCTCTTCTCCTTCCAGATATAGTAAAAACACAACTCCTATCATTCCTGACCATTAGCTGGCTATGGCTGGCAATAGCAGAATCCAACCCCAATGTGTAGGGTTCAAACAGTCATATTTAGGGATTACTTTAGACAATGGTTGAATTCATGTGTTTAAAGGTCACCCATGTGAATAGGTCCCATTGCCACAAGTGTTCAAAAATGGGATAGGGAGAAGTTAGCAAGGATATTTAAGCTTCATCCTAGTCTAAGAAAGCAAAGCTGTGTAAGCGGTGCCTCCAGAGATCAAGCACTAATGTGCTGAGATTTATTAGCCTTTACTCCCTCCATGTGGCTGTTGATAAAAAGACTGTTCCACATAGGAGATTCCTAAATGCATTAGAGTGAAGTATTTCCATCTGTTTCACCTCCAAAATGAGAGGGAAAAAAAAAAAAGTTGGGACAGAATAAAATCATCAAAATTTTGAATACATGTATAACCCAGAAAGCTCATCAAACATATATTTTGTTTTAACAATACTTCTAGGTAGCATTTTTTTAAAACATTCATTGTAACCTACATTTTCCCAAAGATCCCCCACAATCCATTCTGGTTTCAAGTTCTTTAAGCTGTCAACCCATTTCTTATATAATCTATTTTTCAAACTGTAATCACATTTCTTGGAGGTAATGTGTTACAATGCATGGGGGAAGCGAAGGCCTTCTCTTGCAGATACTGGGGGTTCTGTTTTCCCACTATATCATTCCATGCATATCTCTAAAACTACTTATTTGTGGGCTATAGTTTTGTGTGTGATATTTAATTTACAAATGTAGCCCTTTGGTAACCAAAACAAAAAAACAAAAAACAAAAAACAGCAAAACCTGGCAGCATAATGAATTATATATTTCTAAACCTCCTGGAGTAGTTGTTTTTGTAATATGCCAAAGTTGAAATAATTTAACATAATGGGGCCTAGTTTTCAGTACATTTGGTTATGTTTAAAGTCTTTCCTGAAAGGCTGAGAACATTCCATTCCTCACCTACTGCATTATCATTTCCTATCTCATTTCCTGTAATTACTTGATTGCAAATAACCTTAGTGGTCTAAATCCTTAAGATGCAACTTTTTTGACTTAAACCCTCCCCACCACTTTTGTCCCAATGAGTCCGTTCCGAGTCAGAACACACAGAAATATCAGGCATTGAAATAACACCCCATTTAAGGGAGCTTGTTTTTACTGCAAGGGGTACACCGCAGGCTGGTTGCATCCAGGATGAATGGTTTGCCAGCCAGCAAGGTCTCACATTCCAGGCAGGTGAAATGTTGCTTATGCCAAGTAAGGCCTTCAGTTTGCTGGTAGTCTTCAGAAAATATTATCTGTGGAAGTAAACAAGTCCATTTATCATTCCTTTCCTGAATGTCTTCATTATGAAAACATCACACACACACACAAATACAAACACAAAGCTGTTGACAAGCCAACAGTGTAAAGAGTACTTCCATGCTGCTTAGCATTGCACAGAAAATAAATATTTACACATTCCTATAAAGAACAGTGTTTTGGTCCAACTAAGCTGCAGAACAAGTTTACATTTAGATTCAAGCATTATTTAAAACAAATGCTTAAAAAATACCTTTGGATACATAGACACTTTTTGAATTCACTGAAATATATTGTGTGCTTTATACAATATGTATCTGAAGCAGGAATTCCTTGAGTAATTAAGGTCCATGAAAACCATGCTTACCAACCTATTTTCATATGTATTCTATGCCTTCCCCAGATTCTACTTCCTTCTCTATACAGTATTCCATACTCACTGCACAGAGTTCCCTTCTTGAAATAGTAGCTACCTGTACCATAATTCAGGAAGCTCAGAACATTGTGTAATGTTCTTCCTACAGAAATTTACAAAGGAGCTGAGGCTGGTAGTGAGCTTTATAGCATAGTAGGAAGAGAGCCAAGTCTCTCTGATCCTAGTTAACAATAAATGTTACACAACCCTAACTTAACAGCGCAATGGCTTAACAAGCAAAAATTTGCTGCAAAAAGTTGGCTAGGCCACAGCTGATCTCATGCATATATGTTATACAGGAGGCAAGAAAGCAGAGTTGATGGTTAATAAATATTTTGTTAGCTACAGCTTCATCAACTACGTAAGCATACAATAAATTTTTTTAATGTCCAACTCGTGTTCCCTCAGGAAGGAAAAAGGAACCATCTCATCAGCTGCTGTGAGAAAAAACAATGAGCAAACACAGCCAAGGATTGCTCATTGTACTGAGCAGACATTTGGACTATTCGGTTTCCAAGATCCTTCCAACTCTACAATGGATCAACTGGTAGAGGAAATGGGGTGCAGAAAGGATATATTTAGAACATACAGATTTACCTTTTTCCAGATTTTTTTTTTAAAATCTCCCCTACAACCTAGCATGTGGGATTTACCATTTATTCAGTAATACGAAAGACATTCAATTTGATTTTTTCCCCATTATTTCCCATATCCCAGCATTACTTCATATATTTCTGGCCCTGAAAATAGACACCATGATCAGGAGATTGTGAGCCCTGGCAAAAATTAAGCTGGGTTCTGAGTGGTTGTTCCTTTATAGAAAAGCAGGAATCCTTGGAGATTTCCAAAGAATGAGAAACTGAGCCCTATTTGCAAGCCTAGATTTTGATAAATTATTTAAAAAAGAGACATGGAGATGGCAGAACCATAAACTCAGCAAGATCAGCCGGGGTATTTTCTGAACGATGCACTTATGTGCTAAATACCATTTATGATGACAGATCTGAGAGGTACAAGAATGGTTTTGGAAATGTATTGCTGTAAAACATTTAACTATATATGTACTTAACAGCAGGCTCACGGGACCAGTTTGGAAGGAATAAAATATTTATCCCAGGAGTGGTTTAAGTAAGATCAATACAAACTAAATAGCCTATGTCCACAAATTAGTGGTAAGGGGATGGGGGAGGAGAAAATAAGCTAACTCCACAACAACCTTAGAGCAATTCTTCTAGAAACAGGACAGGAAATAGAAGTCAAATGGCGTTGATGGAGTTGCCTGTTTGCTACCTTGAACTTTGCTGCAGCTCCTGGAGTAGCTTACTTCTGAATGGCAACAGTGGGAATATTTCTATGATAAGGATACATTTCACACAGCGCCCCCCCTCCCCCTTTGTAAAAATGAAATCTGTTTCAGCCTTCTTAAGCTTAAGTTCAAACAAAATAAATAGGCATTTTGTTCTCTGGAACATTCGCTTATAATAAAGAATTCACAGAAAAATGAAGAAAAGATTGCCCCGCTGATCACCATACACAAAAGCACTCAGCACGCTTTAAATTCCTTCCAGGCAAGTCAACACGAACCCGGCTTTAAAAGGGAAACGAGAGAAAGGGTTTTGGATAGATGTGTGACTCCTTGCAGCTGTTTAGTCCATCTCACACTTGGGTCCGACACAGACGAGAGAAGAACGCCCATTTTCCCAGTAACCGTACCTCATCGCAAGCTGTACAGCGTGGCCGCACACTATCGCAGTAATGGCGTCCACACAAGAGGGCCCCATTGTTCCAGAAGTAGATCAAGTCAACAAGTGGTTCAGAGCACTTAGAACACACAAAGCACGCTGGATGCCACTGGCGATCGTAGCCGGCTCGGTCTGCGTACACAACTGGACAATCAGCAGGTAGCACCTGCCTGCAGAAGTCACAGCACTAGGAAAGAAATCAAAGCCACAATCAAGAAACAATGAAGCTCCCTCAATCAGCTCACAGCCAAACCCACCACCGTCTGCTCTTCTCCAGAGATTTCCCACTGATGCACATATATATGTATTTATAGCACTTATAAGGTTGCCCAATGCAAAAAAATCAACTTTACATCATTAAAAAATAGCCCGATATAGAAAATGGGAAACCAAGTGGGATAATTTAAAACAATGAAAAGGGAGCTCTGCTCAACTAGACCCAAACACGCAGTAAATGTTCTCTTCTGGTTAACTGTTAGAGTTGAATATATTAAAGTTCCCAAAATGGGACTGCTCCAAGCAAGCCTCAGTATATAAATGTGCTGAATATGTCCGCTTAATCATGTAAACCAGTCTCTTTGTCATCGGTTGCTAAGCATATTCAGCGCTCCCTGGTATTCAAGGTGATCAGCAACATTGCAGACAATGTATCACAAGGGAATCTGAAGTTCTTCAACCATTAATACAATCCCCAACACCCTCAATAGGCATGGCTGGTGGCTGGGACTGCTTGGAGTTGTAATTCAGCAATATGTGAAGAGTACTGATTCTTCCTGTTACATGTAGTATATTTTGAGTGATTTCCATAGTAGGGACAGCATGTTAGCCTGCCCTATGGTAACCTTAACAAGTAAAAGGTCTCATATTTTCTTGAACTTTAGACCCCAATGAGAACAAAATAAAGATCTATTCAGCAAAATGGTCTTCTCCCTTTTGTCCTTGTGTGGAAACATTCTGCGATATATTGTAAAAATGTATGCTTTATGATGTTCAACAATGAGTTTCCTTAAAAAAAAAATAAATTGTGAAATCATCCCTGTTAATATTGGATTTAGCAATAAAGAAATCTAAATGGATAGCTACTTTAGAGCAGCATACTGAATGGTATAAAAAAGATGCGATAACTATCTGTAAATGTCTGAGAAAAAACTGGGCAGTTAGTAAGAGGCTCACATTTCTTCCAGTACCAGAAATAACAATAATTTTACTCCACTGACTTCCCATACATTGTCATATGATCTTTGTAAAAGATCCAGTAAACCATAGACGCCAGATTCTAAGTGAAATGAGCTGTATACCAATTTCTTATATAAACATATACATATATACACACATACATATATATCCCCTCCCACACACAAACTAAGAGATTTGCTGTTCAATAGAAATAAGATTCATGACAGTGCCAGACTTCTTTATAAAAAAATAAATTATTACTGGGATTTCTACCTTTCTTCCTATGATGTGATTCAGAATTATTTATCTGTATTAAGTCACAGAGAAATGAAAGATTATGTAGTTTCATTTCTTTTTGGACAGGGCTTATACAATGCACCACAGATTTTACTTCATGTGTGTATTTTAAAGGCATTTCATCTTGGTAATCTGCAACTATTCTATGACAACCTACAGATCATGTGTGTATTTTAAAGGCATTTCATCTTGGTAATCTGCAACTATTCTATGACAACCTACAGATCATGTGTGTATTTTAAAGGCATTTCATCTTGGTAATCTGCAACTATTCTATGACAACCTACAGATGTATTTGGATTCCAAAGCCAGAATACTCTCTAGAGCAGAGAGAGAGTCATTTTCCTATCAAGGCCATCTTTCAGCCCAGATACACCTTTGGGAGCAACACAGCCATAGTTTATGATAGTTAGGGGAGACAGATTTAGAGGAAGCACCTCACAGCCCTCCAGTCTCTCTCCACTTCTTCTTTTCTCTCTCATTCTGACGTTGTCTTCTCATGCTCGCCTTTGCTCTCATCCGAAGTCTGAATGGATTGGTTTGAGGCAGTTTTGGGGAGAGCTGCATGAAATTAGATTAAGGGCCACAGATTGCCCACTCCCTGCTCTACGTTTCGCCCATCTTCTTTACCTAATCTTAATCTAAACTTCTTAAAAGGCTTCCAGAAAGGCCACGTTTTAGACTTTTCCATACAATTCAACTCTTGCTTTAGAACAGCTACTGAGAATGGAGAGTTACGGTAGCTAAAGGAGAAATGACTTGATCACGGATATCGTGAAGGCTTAGCGAAGGGAAAATGCTTCCTTCCTAGGCAAAAGATCAAGTCAAAGCAAGCTGGCCAGCATCAAAACTGTACAGGAAAGCTGTACTGTTCCCTCCACATGCCAATTCCTTAGTTAATATTGACAAGAATTTCATTTTGTTACAGGGGAAATGAAAATATTTCCCTCAGAAAAGCCTTCTGCCCACAAGTACAAACACCACCCTTTTCATATGAAGTTAAACTTGGGCCATGATGGAATGTTTCAGTTTATTTGTTGTTGTTGTTAAAGCCCAGGCTAAAGTTCTCCAAGAAAATCTCGGGAGGGCCAATACATGGCTTTCCTTAAACCATTAAAAGCCTATAATCTACAGCAAAGCTTCTTGTAATGATTTGTCACCATTTCTACTGCAAAAAGAAAAACTTTAAAATAAATTTAGAAGATTTGTCCAGTCAGTGAGCAGATTGTGACAAGAGAAATAGAAGTTATTTGGGCATTTATCTCCTTGCAGTCAGAAGTCAGAATCCACATTTCAAAAAGGCAAATAGAGTCATGTAGAATTGCATAGCCTCTGGACCCGGACTTTATGTGCTTTATGTGATCCCTGGAGCCCCACTAACAGTTTCCACTACATTCTAATTATCAACGCAAGAAAAGGGGAAAGTACAATTATGGAACGATTAAACGAAAAAGAAAAAGAGTATGGCTGCAGTACAACTTAAATTTAGATTGCATAACTTGAGGTCTTAATAACCAAAAAATAGGCAATTGCTGGAGGCCCCCCTCAATTACCAAAAATTGGCAGCCTACTTTCCTGTCATGTTAGACAGGAAATACATGAAAATTGTACTGTAAGCTGTCAAATAGGCTTAACTTGGTTAACAAATAGTTCAAAGTTTCCATAAAAAAACCCCCTGAATACTATGTTTTGTTCTTTAACAGACATACATAGAAGTACAATCTATGATTTCAAGATCTGGCACAAGGATTTGCATTCACTTTGTTATGCCAGGAAAACTTAAGGCATTGTGGTTAAGCAAGTGCTGATATTTTTACAGTTAGTTTTTACTGGATGGCTGTTGGCTTCAAAAATGCACTGGAACAGAAGGTAATGCCAGTTAGCTTTAGTACTGAATAGTGCAGTTTAATCAAGACAATATTGATTAAACTTTATGTTTTTCACCAAACAACTCAGTCAAGATAATGTTTCATCTCCAAGGGATAGTATGATACTGATTTAAGGTTCTTGGCGTATCCTAAAAGGTGAAATCATCCTAAGTAGTTCAGGTTACGTCCAGGATATTTCAGTTTTCTCCTCTCATATCCTCTCCTCCTCCCTGCCCCATAAGAACTGATGGAAAGGCCCTTCTCTTGGCCTCAACAGGGACAGAGGCATATGTGCTTAGCACAAGAGAAAGGGCCTTCTCAGTGGCCCCGCCCAGAAGAGTCTTCTTGGTGTTGGCCCCCAAATGCTGAACCTCCTTGCATTAGGAGACCGGGTCTATACTATCTCTGTGGATTTACTGCCAAAAAGTGACTTTCCCTCCACAGATAGCCTAGCTTTTAGAAAATACGATATGCTGCTTCTGCCTGCTTTATAATTTGTATAAGGAATTTGTATAAGTGTTTGTGTGTGCATTTTTTGCTTGATCTTTGTTTTTTGTCTTCCACACATTTTAATTTTGATACTGTTTTAAATATTGTGAAGCTGCCCTGAGTAATCCTTAAGCATTTGATAGGCAGAATAGAAATCTTTATAAGTATGTATGGAATGTAGGTATGTATGAATGAAAGAATAAACAAACAGCCTTAGCATATGGCTTAGAAGCAGGCTTTTATATCTACTTATGCTCTATTAGTTATTGGAAATGTAGAAGAGATTGGCAGACAACTATCAAATCCAGACTTGTAGGCTAGACTGGGGAGTTGAAAAAACAACCTGGAACAAGAATAACCAAACACGTCTGTATTGTTGCCAAGAAAATTACAGTAATGAAGTCATCAGGAGTTGAGTTCAAATTGACGGAGACTTTACTTTTGTCTTCCACATTACTGTATTGGAGCATGACCGAAAAAGAGTTGCCTTTGCCAAGCAAAGTGAAGAATTTGGGGTTGCTTAAAACTGAAACATTAGTAGGATACCATCACTCTCTTTGGGAGCTCAATCTTTTTTGCTCCTTCAGCAACAATACTTATTATTTACTAATACATACATATCCCATAGGTATTAGAAAATCCAGCTCCTAACTAAAGCATTACCGTTGGAACTCCTCATCTCTCAAAGAAATGGGATGCTGTGCAGAATTTATGTGGTGTTCTGCACTGGGGTCAAAATCCAGTAGACAGCAAAGGCTTCATCAAGGATGCTTTGGAATTTAGAGCCTGTTTCATAAAAAACCAAGAACTATGTTCTGTAGCTTTAGACAGTGGCAGGTCAGCGATAACAGAACTTTGTATTATAAAATGTTGGCACATTTCACAAAATTCCAACATTGTTCTGATAGATAAAGAGTACAGGAATGAGAAGTATAAACAATTTTAAGAAAATAATGGTTTAATACTGTGACTGTGATGCTTTCTGCTAATAATCTCAAAATATTTAAATAATTACAAAAATACAAGGATCCTTATAGAATTGTCCTGGAATTGTATATGAATCAGGTAATACTTCGATACGGTAACTGTCTTGGATAAAAATATATAAAGGTGTTATAAATGAATGCCAATAAAAAATGCACGTAGCCTTAAACATCCAAACGAACGTATGAGACGAGTCCCCAAATGGTTAATGTTATTTTTTTTAGAACGCAAAAAATCCTTCAGTAGAAGAATTGAGCTGTACAATTACTTTTTTTTTTTTTTTT